GTTTATCTTATTTAGGTAGTTTGGTAAGGACAGTATCACTTCCTGGGATAAAAGGTCATTGTGCTTTAAATGTATCCAGTCACCAGTCTTGTCATGGGGCGCTGTTTTGTTCATGGTAATGAAAATCTGATTGAAATAAACAACACTATACAGTTATAGAAAATGAAAATTATCTGAAATATCTAGCATGATCTATCTTTATTTAAAATGGACATTATTAAATCTCTCAGATCTCGTACATTGGTTTGGTTCTTTATACACCAGATTGGGTCATTAACCAAATGCAGACGCTTACTTATAAATTATAGTTGTGAATAATGTGTACCCTGTACATGTAATTATTCGAAGGTTTCAAGCAGAATGATGTGATTGACAGGCTCTGGGAACCATTTTATACACTAATCCAGTGAGCTTATCTGGTGCAATGCATATTTACGTGAAACTGTTGTCAAGGAAAAATCGGTAAAAACAACACAGAATACCATCTCAACAGCTAAAAAATAAAACATCATATATATAGTATATTATTATTGCATACAATAATTCCTTTGAGTATATTTAGAGACGTCAATTGCAGTTTATTCAGCCATACAAATCATGGATTCCACAAATACTACATGACCAGATGTCTCGGTTCTCCTTATCATTGCTTAATCATATATTTGTGTATTTAAAAATATTTGTATTTTTCTTCAGTGAATAATCCCCCAAATAAAGCGATAGTATGAATAATGTGTTGAAGTTATTCAACTTAATGCAATGTTGCAGTAGTTTGTTTGTGTTTTGTTAACTCCACTATATATTGTTAATCGCAGTAATACATTTACGGTTATAAATAAACAAATAAAGACATGATGTTTTATTTCAAATGCTATGTTAGTTGGTCATTTATAATTTTGATTGAAGCCAGGGAGTCGTCAACTGCGCAGGCGTCAGATGACCATAGCGTGTCACTGTTCACAAACGAGCGTCTACTCTTGAGCCTTTGCGTTTTTAGCTTGTGTTGGTATCGTCGCTTGGGACTCGCGTGTGCAGGTGACGACCCTCCCGCTTTAAAACATTTATTGCTATAGTTACTTTCACCAGCAAGTACTCACTGAACACGTGTTTTGATAATGTGCATAGGATTTATTCAGTCATCTCATGATTACAATATATTACCATATCCTAACATGAATTTATAAAACACTAAGATGTTATCTTCGACTAATTTCGAACATGTGATAGACTGGCCCATACGATGTGTTTATCTCTTTCTGCCATAGAATCTCCTCACTAGAAAAACAAGTTGACACAACTGTTAACCATATACTCACATGTGAAATCACATATACACATGCTGTACACATTTACAACTTCATTGGCATTCACATAATTAAAACGCATGCATTATTGAGTAAATGTATGTATTTCTCATTTGTTTTTATTTCACCATAATAACATGCATCTACCTGACACCGAATAATCAAATGCTACTTCGTTAGTTCAAATGTACAGTAATTCGTTCATTTATCAAATTTTATATTCTCTTTCCAAACCGATTAATTTGATTATTCTGGTGCCAATATGTGTGTTTTCTGTTTATATGAATAATAATAAAATAAGACAGCGTTCATCTAAATATAAAATCGTTGCAGTTTTCTGTGTGAACACGGGCTTGCGGTTGTTGTGAAAATGAGTTTTTCTAGCGTCTCAAAAAGAAAATCGCTACAATCAATACTGTACAAGTTTATGAACATTTCTGGAGGTAATATTGTTCAGGTGTCATATACATGTGATCGAATGTTTAGTGTCACACTAGACCAGGGCTGTTTAAATAAAACATTCATATTAATACCTGATATCAAAAATTAAATGGCGGCAGTCGTCACACCGCGTCCTGTTCGATATGGTACTCATAGCGACGTATACAACGCGTGTAAAATACATTGTTTATTTACATGAAATTCGAACACGCGCTGCGCGACGACCACCGCGCTTTAAAAAGTGAACAATTTTTTTTTTAATATTAACGTAGTTTAGTATGCCACCAATTCCACATAATAAAATATGTCTACCCTAATCGTTGGGATTATGTTGATGCAAAATCATTAAACAGACCATTTAGTAAAATAAATGAAGTACACATAAACTCAATTCGAGTCAATTCAAATCGAATTTGCCGGTCAAACACAATATAGGCATAATATTAAAGAATGAATCCAACTAACGTTTATTAATTCAGCATATCTTTTGAAAAATGAGATTCAAAAAAAGCACTGAGTACACAAGTTATTTGAAAGTTAATATGTGTTGATAGTTGGTTATATGTGTTATCTGGTTCATGTTCACCGAATTGTTTTAAAACCCATATCACATCACTGTTCATTACGCCAACGCACAACACTGTATCATTCTCTTTGAAAAAAAAACAGTCGGTAAAACAGCTACTCACTCGGGTCAATAAATCTTTCATCCTTTGTGACGCCACGCATGGAAAGAAACGTGCACACAGATTACTCATAGTACATAGATTCATTACCCAATGGAATGAATATTAATTCTGCGCTTTATTACGGGGGTGTGGACAATTCACACAAAGTAAATTATGAAGTAGTAAGTAAATAAAATATTATTATACACCTGACACCGTAACGCCATAAGTTACAGCCTGTCGTAATTCTGCGGTATTTTACGAGGTATTTTCATCCTACTATATAAGGAAATGCGAATTCCAAAAATGGAATGATTACGCGCGTAAGAGCGTCCACGCTGTAACTTATGGCGTTACGGTGACAAATGTATAATAATATTAATAATTATTGTCATTATTATTATTGATTTACCGGCAAACTAGCTGCTCGAACGCCGTCTATGTCTGAAAGTGAATGTATATTAGGATTAGTGAAATGTGTGATGAATTAAAAATCGACAATAGAAAAATATTTGAATTAAATGTATCAAACCTTGTTCCATAGCATAGTCTTCTAAATCCTGTTGAAATAATAATGCAAATTGATTTATAATAGTTATATGTTTTTAATAATTCATATACATTGTATATATATATATATATATCAGTTCTTTTTATTTAGATAGTAGAAATTTTTTGGTCAGAGCGCCCTCTAGTATTTGTGGAGAATCATGTTCATTTGGAATGCTCTGATTGGATGGAAGTTCAAGCCTAGCAAGGTGTGATAGAATTGGCCTGTTATGTTCAGATTCAAATAAGCATGAACCACTAATTTGACAGGGAAGTGATACTTATAATGCAGCAAGCTGTTCTAATTGCTGTTGTGGTAGAGTTTTTCCATTTTCCTGTCAAATGCATTTATTGGTCCAGTGAAAATCAAAATAATGTTCCCTGTAACTTAGACTCTTATTGATCAAGGCATTTTAAAAATCATGGGTGTTAACTCCCCTCAAGTTATGACCCGCTGTGCCCTACAGAATAATGGTTGCATCTAATATTAAAATAAAGATGGCGGAGTATAGCGTTGATTCATCTCGTTCTACTCTGGATTACTTGGAGTCAATAAAGATTCTAGAAAGTAGTATTTATATGCCTGTGTGTTTTTTGTTTGTTTTTTCACTGTCTTTGACTTTCCCAGTATGTTTGTTGCTGTTGACAATAATTCAGTCCTCTGTCAGGCTTCAGTCAATGTTTTTGTTCAGTGCCTACCCAACTCCTCGTCGGGCACTATGTAGCTGGTGTGGTATATTTATCACAGACAGTAGGGCAATTGTCACATTTAGTGCTCCAAGAAAATATTCTCTGTCCATGTGTATTTATATAAATAGATGCAGTTTCTTTGGCTTGAATAACATTCACTGGCTTCGTACATAAGGTATACTGGTTTACCTGTTTCTAGTTGAAATTTAGCCAATCTTATTAACCAAGACAGTTGGACATTTGCCACATGTCACAACACTCATTTCCAAGTGCCATAGCTTGAAACAAGTAGTCAAATCTGATATTGGCTGGAGCTTTAGTTTCTATGGACATGGTAAATGGCAAACTAGATGGTCAGAAAGTAATAAAAATAATCACAGCTTTACTCCATCCACCCCACTATGAAGTAAAAGGCTGTTTATAAGGCCATGTATGATGGTTTCATGTTTCTTATGGAAAACGATTTTAATTATAAACTTCTATGCTCCTGTACCCAACCGTGGGGGGTCCATCACACTAAACAACAGGTGTCACTATTACTAAGAAAAATGTACTTTTTTTAAATAAAATTACTGAATGCTTATATTTATGTTTTAAGACGTTAGTTAAAATTTAATATCAGGCAATGCATTGGTTCATTACCCTGGCTACATGTTAAAATGGGTCTGAATTTACTTTCGATAAGTACATACATAACCGACCAATCTTGGACTTTATTTCAATATGTTGGTCAGGGTTCTGACCCTGTGTATTTTTCGGTGGGTACCGTTTAATTTCATTACCCTGGCTACGTGTTAAAATGGTTATGAATTCATTTTGGATAAGTACGTACATAACCGACCAATCTTGGACTTTATTTCAATATGTTGGTCAGGGTTCAGACCCTGTGTATTTTTCGGTGGGTACCGTTTAATTTCATTACCCTGGCTACGTGTTAAAATGGTTATGAATTCACTCTGGATAAGTACGTACATAACCGACCAATCTTGGACTTTATTTCAATGTGTTGGTCAGGGTTCTGACCCTGTGTATTTTTCGGTGGGTACCGTTTAATTTCATTACCCTGGCTACGTGTTAAAATGGTTATGAATTCATTTTGGATAAGTTACGTACATAACCGACCAATCTTGGACTTTATTTTGCATGCAGGTAAGGTACACCTACAGACATAACTGTGGACATTCAGTTCTTTTTATTTAGATCATGGCAATTTTTTGGTCAGAGCGCCCTCTAGTTTTGTGGAGAATCATGTTCATTTGGAATGCTCTGATTGGATGGAAGTTCAAGCCTAGCAAGGTGTGATAGAATTGGCCTGTTATGTTCAGATTCAAATAAGCATGAACCACTAATTTGACAGGGAAGTGATACTTATAATGCAGCAAGCTGTTCTAATTGCTGTTGTGGTAGAGTTTTTCCATTTTCCTGTCAAATGCATTTATTGGTCCAGTGAAAATCAAAATAATGTTCCCTGTAACTTAGACTCTTATTGATCAAGGCATTTTAAAAATCATGGGTGTTAACTCCCCTCAAGTTATGACCCGTTGTCCCCTACAGAATAATGGTTGCATCTAATATTAAAATAAAGATGGCGGAGTATAGCGTTGATTCATCTCGTTCTACTCTGGATTACTTGGAGTCAATAAAGATCCTAGAAAGTTAGTATTTATATGCCTGTGTGTTTTTTTGTTTGTTTTTTCACTGTCTTTGACTTTCCCAGTATGTTTGTTGCTGTTGACAACAATTCAGTCCTCTGCCAGGCTTCAGTCAATGTTTTTGTTCACTGCCTACCCAACTCCTCGTCGGGCACTATGTAGCTGGTGTGGTATATTTATCACAGACAGTAGGGCAATTGTCACATTTAGTGCTCCAAGAAAATATTCTCTGTCCATGTGTATTTATATAAATAGATGCAGTTTCTTTGGCTTGAATAACATTCACTGGCTTCGTACATAAGGTATACTGGTTTACCTGTTTCTAGTTGAAATTTAGCCAATCTTATTAACCAAGACAGTTGGACATTTGCCACATGTCACAACACTCATTTCCAAGTGCCATAGCTTGAAGCAAGTAGTCAAATCTGATATTGCCTGGAGCTTTAGTTTATATGGACATGGTAAATGGCAAACTAGATGGTCAGAAAGTAATAAAAATAATCACAGCTTTACTCCACCCACCCCACTATGAAGTAAAAGGCTGTTTATAAGGCCATGTATGATGGTTTCATGTTTCTTATGGAAAACAATTTTAATTATAAACTTCTATGCTCCTGTACCCAACCGTGGGGGTCCATCACACTAAACAACAGGTGTCACTATTACTAAGAAAAATGTACTTTTTTTTCATTAAAATTACTGAATGCTTATACTTATGTACTAAGACGTTAGTTAAAATTTAATATCAGGCAATGCATTGGTTCATTACCCTGGCTACGTGTTAAAATGGATCTGAATTCACTTTGGATAAGTACGTACATAACCGACCAATCTTGGACTTTATTTCAATATGTTGGTCAGGGTTCTGACCCTGTGTATTTTTCGGTGGGTACCGTTTAATTTTACTACCCTGGCTACGTGTTAAAATGGGTCTGAATTCACTTTGGATAAGTACGTACATAACCGACCACTCTTGGACTTTATTTCAATATGTTGGTCAGTGTTCTGACCCTGTGTATTTTTCGGTGGGTACCGTTTAATTTTACTACCCTGGCTACGTGTTAAAATGGGTCTGAATTCACTTTGGATAAGTACGTACATAACCGACCAATCTTGGACTTTATTTCAATATGTTGGTCAGGGTTCTGACCCTGTGTATTTTTCGGTGGGTACCGTTTAATTTTACTACCCTGGCTACGTGTTAAAATGGGTCCGAATTCACTTTGGATAAGTACGTACATAACCGACCAATCTTGGACTTTATTTCAATATGTTGGTCAGGGTTCTGACCCTGTGTATTTTTCGGTGGGTACCATTTAATTTTACTACCCTGGCTACGTGTTAAAATGGGTCTGAATTCACTTTGGATAAGTACGTACATAACCGACCAATCTTGGACTTTATTTCAATATGTTGGTCAGGGTTCTGACCCTGTGTATTTTTCGGTGGGTACCGTTTAATTTTACTACCCTGGCTACGTGTTAAAATGGGTCCGAATTCACTTTGGATAAGTACGTACATAACCGACCAATCTTGGACTTTATTTCAATATGTTGGTCAGGGTTCTGACCCTGTGTATTTTTCGGTGGGTACCATTTAATTTTACTACCCTGGCTACGTGTTCAAATGGGTCTGAATTCACTTTGGATAAGTACGTACATAACCGACCAATCTTGGACTTTATTTCAATGTGTTGGTCAGGGTTCTGACCCTGTGTATTTTTCGGTGGGTACCGTTTAATTTCACTACCCTGGCTACGTGTTAAAATGGTTATGAATTCATTTTGGATAAGTACGTACATAACCGACCAATCTTAGACTTTATTTCAATGTGTTGGTCAGGGTTTTGACCCTGTGTATTTTTCGGTGGGTACCGTTTAATTTCATTACCCTGGCTACGTGTTAAAATGGTTATGAATTCATTTTGGATAAGTACGTACATAACCGACCAATCTTGGACTTTATTTTGCATGCAGGTAAGGTACACCTACAGACATAACTGTGGACATTCAGTTCTTTTTATTTAGATCATGGCAATTTTTTGGTCAGAGCGCCCTCTAGTTTTGTGGAGAATCATGTTCATTTGGAATGCTCTGATTGGATGGAAGTTCAAGCCTAGCAAGGTGTGATAGAATTGGCCTGTTATGTTCAGATTCAAATAAGCATGAACCACTAATTTGACAGGGAAGTGATACTTATAATGCAGCAAGCTGTTCTAATTGCTGTTGTGGTAGAGTTTTTCTATTTTCCTGTCAAATGCATTTATTGGTCACTGAAAAATGAAAATAATGTTCCCTGTAACTTAGACTCTTATTGATCAAGGCATTTTAAAAATCATGGGTGTTAACTCCCCTCAAGTTATGACCCGTTGTCCCCTACAGAATAATGGTTGCATCTAATATTAAAATAAAGATGGCGGAGTATAGCGTTGATTCATCTCGTTCTACTCTGGATTACTTGGAGTCAATAAAGATCCTAGAAAGTTAGTATTTATATGCCTGTGTGTTTTTTGTTTGTTTGTTTTTTCACTGTCTTTGACTTTCCCAGTATGTTTGTTGCTGTTGACAACAATTCAGTCCTCTGCCAGGCTTCAGTCAATGTTTTTCTTCACTACCTACCCAACTCCTCGTCGGGCACTATGTAGCTGGTGTGGTATATTTATCACAGACAGTAGGGC